ATCTGATCTGTGAAGCGGCGGAAATAAAGGTTGCTTAAAGTAGCCTTTTCCCAACCTAATTGTCTCCTGGATGAATTGCCTATCATCCCAACCAGCTTGGACATTGCATGAAGGAGCTGAAGTCTAGGGACCTCTTCAAAGATGACCGTGACTCATGGTGACTTCAGGGGCAGGTAGTGTTGTGGTCCGCCAGCAGCCTACGGAGCTGGCAGCCGAGTCGGACAATGAGGAAACTGGAGAGGAACATAGGACAGTCCTGGAGTCTGGGGAAGGCTCAGACGAAGGCTCTGCATCGGAGGCAGAGATGGGGCCAGGGCCATCTGGGAGTGATGCACGGACTCCGGAACCTCCAGAGTGGGACATCAGAGAGGCAGAGGAACAGGAGGAGCCTGTTCCTAATGTGCGCAAGCGCAGAGCTGCCAGAAGGCAAGGACAGTTAAAACTAAAGGGACGACTCGGGAGTAAGGCCTGGAGATGATTGGCCCCTCCCATAAGGCTTAAAAGAGAAGCAAAGGAGGAAACTTGCAGGAAAGCAAGTTGTTAATTCTGTTCCCAGTCGGCATCTCTGCTTGATTCTGGATTCCGTGTGGCTTTGCCAAGTAGGTCTTTGGCAGCGTGTCAAGGGAGATAAAGGTTGGTGATTATCCCAAAGGACTTCTCCCGAAGGACTTTTTGCAACTAATTGGGACTCAGCTGTGAATGAACGTAATTCACAGCTGTTGCAGTTAATGAGGTTTTTGGGACTACTCGTATGTTTTAATGACTCAGGAAGCCTAGGTCACAACAGGTAGTCCCAAAGATGCTTTTCCCAAAGGCAACTGGGATTTCTTGGTTTTTCTTTTTTCCTTGAAAATCTTTCGCTTCACATCCAAGAGAAGCTTCTTCAGTTCTAGAACTGAAGTAAGAAGTGAAGAAACTTCTTGGATGAGAAGCGAAACGTTTTCTAAAGAAAAAACCAAGGACATCTAGATGTCTTTGGGAAAAGGACCTTTGGGATAACCATGACCTGGATGACAAGAGAATCTCCATAAACACTCACGGGCAGGTACAGCACGGAAGTGTTCTGCTTTCTCAAATGTTGACATCCTGTGATTTTTCTGGTGGTCTCCCTCCAAAATACCTGTCTCTGCTTAGCTTTTAGAATCAGCTGAGATTGTGGTTGCCCGTTGGAAAAAAAATTGCAATATGGCAACACTCATTCTGACATGTGGGAATCACCCTATCACTTTCCAGGTATTTCCAAAATGACTTCATGATCTGTTCTGCATTGTTCCCACTGTTTCTTGGATGGAAAGCTGGAGATATTGAGATATGGAAGCTGGAGATATTGAGATATGGAGCTGGAGATATTGAGATATGGAAATCTGGATGAGATATGGAAGCTGGAGATATTGAGATATAGAAGCTGGAGATATTGAGATATGGAAAGCTGGATGAGATATGGAAGCTGGAGATATTGAGATACAGAAGCTGGAGATATTGAGATATGAAAATCTGGATGACATATGGAAGCTGGAGATATTGAGATATGGAAGCTGGAGATATTGAGATATGGAAAGCTGGATGAGATAATGGAAGCTGGAGATATTGAGATATGGAAGCTGGAGATATTGAGATACTGAGATAAAGTCTTCCGAAGCTAAACTTGACTTCTGAGGACCATATGAAAGTGTTCCCCATTACTGCCTTCCAGTCTAGCCTTGAGTCCCCACATTTCCAAGCATTAAGTGGCTCTATCTCTTTAAAAAAAAATCTGGAAAAGATCCAGATTATTAAAGAACCCTGTTCTAACATCATCCTGCTTTCAAAATGGAGGACCTCAAGAAGGAAGTGGAGACATCTTTGAAGTTCAGATCCCAGAGGCTTCTGGAGATGGTTGATCTATTTTTGGGTAAGTCTATGCGTGCATATAAGAAGAGGATGTTTGCTTCCGAAAGCAACTTACATCGGATTTTCTATAAAACCTAATTATAGAAATTATATTTTGTTTTCCTTCCACTGGAGAAAAACAGTTAAGAGTTTGTTGATTTAGGAAAACATATTTGAGGATGTGCAGTGCAATGCACCTGATGAAATGCCTCCCTTCCTGAGTTAAAGTCGTATCTGAGCATTTAAAAGAGCACTCCGGAAATAAAACTATGTTTTAGCATTTATTTAAAGAGGGGAGTGTATGTCCTGTGTTAAAAAAAAGCCAAAATTTTTGCACAGTTGGCATCTCTGTTTGGCCACTTTTACTGCCATAAGGGTCTTATTTTGCAGAAATTACTCTTCACCGTTATCTTTTGAGTATACTTTATTTGAATTTAAATGTTGCTAAAGGACTTGGAGAATCTCAATTAGTGGAAATGTTGCTTTGCTTACTGACATGTTAAGGTGTTTTTTCTATATTAACACAACATACTATTATGTTAGGTACAGTACATATTCTACATCAACTAAAAATAGAAATTTACCCTTTTGTTATTAACACGGAAAGCTAAGAGTAAAAAAAAGTGTAATATAAACATCTGTAATAGTTTCCTTTTTCTATCAATGGCCTTTGGCTTCCTTCCTTCCTTCCTTCCTTCCTTCCTTCCTTCCTTCCTTCCTTCCTTCCTTCCTTCCTTCCTTCCTCCCTCCCTCCCTCCCTCCCTCCCTTCCCTATTCCTTCCCTTCCCTTCCCTCCCTTCCTCATCCTTATGACCATTGCAACATACCCATGGTCATGTGATCAAAATTTGGACACTGAAGAACTGACACATATTTATGACTGTTGCAGTGTCCTGGGGTTACGTCATCACCAGTGGTAGGATGCTGCTGGTTTAACAACCGGTTCGGTGAGTGTGCGCTTTGCCGGTGCCTAAGGCACTTGCGCGCCACACTGAAAATGGAGCATTTAGAAGCTCAGCTGCTTACCTTCCAAGTCAGCAATGGTAAATAGAACAGCGAGGGGGGGGGAATCAGCTGTGCCGCCCAACTGAGATGAGCTACAAAGCTCGAACTAAAGGACAGGATAGAGCGGGGGCGGATGGGCGGGGCCAACTGATTGTCGGCGCTACCAGTTTGCTCAAACTGGTCTGAACCGGCTGAATACCATCTCTGGTGATCACCTTTTGCGACATTCTGTCAAGCAAAATCAAAGCGGAAGCCAGATTCACTTAACAACCGTGTAACTAATTGTGCAGCGATTCACTTAACAACTGCGGCAAGGAAGGTCATAAAATGGGGCAAAACTCCCTTCACAATTGTCTCGCTTAGCAATAGAAATTTTTGAGTAGTCGAGGTCTACCTGTACTTCAAATATTGATCAACACTTTAACATTCGTAAAATTCGGAGATTCGTAGGATTCCCGACCTGCGTACCTTTCGTCGTGCCCTAAAAACATTATTATTCCAACAAGCAGGGCTGGCCTAAATAATAATAATATTTTACTATTTTAATGGGTTATTTTATTAGAGTTTTCGGCCAATTTATTTAATTGTTTTAAATTGCTTTTAATTTTTATATTGTCATGGTTTTATTTCTGGCTGTACACCGCCCTGAGTCCTTCAGGAGAAGGGCGGTATAGAAATTTAATAAAATAAAATAAATAAATAAATAACAACACATTGGTGCCAATCAAGTACAGAATTCTCTTGCAGTGTTAAACCCTTGGAAGCAATGCTCTGTAACTTAGCTCCATGTTGGTTTATGTACATTATTAATTTTATCTCTCACCTTTCTGCTTCTATAACCAGCTTGCAATTAGACAAGACTCAGTCTCCAGCTTTTGGGGTGCAAGGCATCTGACCTCTTGGCTTGAGAACTTAACAACAACAACAGAATTGGAAGGAGGGACCTTGGAGGTCTTCTAGTCCAACCCTTGCTCAGGCAGGAAACCCTATTCCATTGCAGACTAATTGTCGTCCAATCTTTTCTTCAAAACTTTCAGTGTTGGAGCACCCACAACTTCTGAAGGCAAGCTGTTGCACTGGTTAATTGTTCTAACAGTCCCGAAATTTCTCCTTAGTTCTAAGTTGGTTCTCTCCTTGAATAGTTTGCATCCATTGCCTTCCGGTGCTTTGGAGAATAGCTTGACTCCCTCTTCTTTGTGGCAGCCCCTGAGATATTGGAACACTGCTACCATGTCACCCCTAGTCCTTTTTTTCATTAAACTAGACATACCCTACATGGCTTAGGCCCAGGGTACCTGCAGGATCATCTCCTGCCATCCTCCCATCGTCCTGTGCACTCCCATAGAGCGGGCCTCCTCAGGGTGCCGTCAGCCAGACAATGTCGGCTGGCGACCCCCGGGGGGAGAGCGTTCTCTGTGGGAGCGCCGACCCTCTGGAATGGCCTCAGGACAGCCCCTGACCTCCTCTCCTTTTGCCGCGGATTGAAGACGTGGCTCTTTCATCAAATGGGCTGATCCGCAGGGGTGATTTTTAAATAATTTTAATCAATTTTAATTGGATTTTTAATGTTTATGTAGTTTTTGTTCCGTTCTTTTGTAAGCCGCCCTGAGTCCTTCGGGAGAAGGGTGGCATGTAAATTACATAAATAAATAAATAAATAAATAAATAAATAAATAAATAAATAAATAAATAAATAAATACCCAATTCCAGCAACCATTTTTTACAGTATATGTTTTAGCCTCCGCTCCCCTAATCATCTTTGTTGCTCTTCTCTGCATTCTTTCTAGAGTTTCAACATCTTCACTCGCTTTAGAGAGCTAGACTTGCCTTGTAAGTCTCTGCTGCCAAGTGCCAGAATATTTTTTACGACATTCATCTTGGGAATCTGCTCCAGCCCTCAATATTTACTTTTCCTTGCCTGCTAGTTAAAGTTAACATCCTTTTCCTGTATGAAGGCAGCTGATAAAAAAATGGGCTGTGCTGCTCTGTGTTTGTTGATAAGCCCAAAGAAAGTCAAAAGTAAGATTTGCCCCCTCGAATCAACTGCGGCTCCTTCCCTAGACTTCACATACAACCATCGCTCACACGGAGGTCCTCTTCCACATTGTCATCTGACCCCTGACATTTCCATCAGGGCTGGGAGGGCCAACACGATAAGTTTCCGCCTTTTGTTAGCTGTGCCATTCCTTGTTCCAAGGTTTCGGTTAAAGAAAGGAGACAAGGCAGGTTGTAAGAACAGACCGAGCTGAAGATCAGAGAGGTTTCAAGGAGTTTGAGAAGAACCGAAGATGCTAACGACACTCTTACTGCTTTGTGGGGCCGTTGGGCTGCTGAAATCAGACACACATTCGAGGCATCCTGGTTATCACCATCAGAGGCCAGGGCCAGAAGTTCCTCAGATGTCTGCACCTCCACAACTGTCTTCTCCGGTGGAAGAATTCTGGAGAAGAGAGTCCATCCAAGATGAAACTGAGGCAGAGATGGAGGAGCCTTACCCTGCAAGTCATGAATCCAGAAATGAGTAAGTATTTTTTCCAAAAAAAGAATCTCCATTGTATCCATCTGCAATTGTTGCAATAGTATCCAACTCTTCATTCTGGAATTACAAAGAGAATAACGCAGGAAACTCTCATCATTTAATCAGTGGAACAACTTGCCTCCAGAAGTTGTGAATGCTCCAACACTGGAAGTTTTTAAGAAGATGTTGGATAACCATTTGTCTGAAGTGGTGTAGGGTTTCCTGCCTAAGCAGGAGGTTGGACTAGAAGACCTCCAAGGTCCCTTCCAACTCTGTTATTCTATTCTATTCTATTCTATTCTATTCTATTCTATTCTATTCTATTCTATTCTATTCTATTCTATTCTATTCTATTCTATTCTATTTCAGACAAGTGGCAGTCCAGTCTCTTCTTTAAAAACCTCCAGTATTGGAGCACCCACAACAGGGTGGACTTAAATATCCTTTTTTTTTTTGGGAGAAAGCACGCTGTTAATTCCAGAACTTGGATTGCATTTCATGTCCATAGAGTAAGTACAAACATATTGTAGTATGTCAGTCTTTTCATTTTGTAACCCTGTTAGAATCCCAAAACAAGAAGATAGGGACCCAGATCTAAATCTCTCATTCTCAAACTTTTTTTGTGCTGCTAGAGACCATCTGCATATTCTTGGTGGAGCTGGCAAATTACTGAAGAGCATCATTTTCTGTCCCACAATCAAAGCACACACCTCATTCAAGCTGTAGTAGGCATAGAACTCTCTGCCTTCCCTGACCAAATGCCAGCTAGACACTACGATATCCATCATCCTGGATGAAGGCACTTAAACGCTACTTAAGTGGGGACATCATTGAGAAAGTCCATTGCCATCTTCAAATCCATGAAACACACCTTAGATTTATTGATTTGCATCGAATCATTTTTCCTTTCATTCACTTATTTGTTTAGTTTGTGGACTTACCTACAAAATACAGGAAGACATTTTTAAAAGGGTTTTGTTGTTGTTGAACAGCCAATTAAAAAAAAAATGGAAAAGAGAATATGCAGTTAGGGCTTTAAAAAAACAATAATCCAGGAGTAGATTCTTCTTTTTCCTCGATCAGAATTTGGCTTCTGGTCGTAAAGATCACAAAGTGGAATCTGACCACTGCCAGAGATGTAAAATTGTATTGATCTGCCAGCAGTAGCTGACTGTAGAAAAACGTTTGTATGTCATGAGAATTTTACTAAAAAGGGGTGCCATGTTCCTGTTCCTTATATCCCTATAGAAGAGGCAGCATAATAAAACATGGACATCTCCATGGTCATGTGGCATGACTCAATGCCAAAGGCACACAGAACGCTGTTACCTTCCCACCAAAGGTGGTCCCTATTTTTCTACTTGCATTTTTTATGTGCTTTCGAACTGCTAGGTTGGCAGAAGCTGGGACAAGTAACGGGAGCTCACCCCATTACGCGGTACTAGGGATTCGAACCGCTGAACTGCCGACCTTTCGTTCATATTACCTCCTATTGCAATATTTAGTGAACATGTATTCATCTCTTGCCTTGAATTCAAGGCAGCTCACAGTGAAATAGGAATGCAGGAAGAAGGACAGATCCAGCAAACGACAGCAGTGTGCAAGAGTGTAAAAAAAACAACAACAATTAAATGAGTTAAGATATGTGGGATCCCTGAACTGAGAAAAATCAAAGACTTCTGTATCTCTCTGATTTGAAGATTGACGTGCATATTACTTTTTGTTGATGTCAGTGGAATTTCACAGTGCTCAATTATGGGTCTGCAGACTGGCTGAGACAAATTATGATTGTCATATTGGCCAGTCCTTGCCCTAGATGCCTTTGATGGGAATGTAAACAGGTTTCTTCAGAGTTTTCAAAAGAGTACATGCGCTTTGTGTACTTTTTCTACACTGGTTGTCTATGTCACCAGGACAGGACAATCCTTCAAGGAATGGAGAACGTGAGTCTTTGCACTGCATTACTTCTATTTGTTTCCTAATTGCTTATTTGTTCCCTCTGACTATCATTAGTTGTTGTTCCTTATGATTCTTGGTGAACGTATCTTTTCTTTTATGTACACTGAGAGCATTTGCACCAAGACAAATTCCTGGGGTGTCCAATCACACTTGGCCAATAAAGAATTCTATTCTATTCTATTCTATTCTATTCTATTCTATTCTATTCTATTCTATTCTATTCTATTCTATTCCATTCCATTCCATTCCATTCCATTCCATTCCATTCTATTCTATTCTATTCTATTCTATTCTATTCTATTCTATTCTATTCTATTTCTATTCTATTCTATTCTAATGTTTGGAGGACTTCAACCATAATGTTTGTGGTAACTATCTCTTCTTCATTGTACCAACTACTTGGTGTCCCTTATCCTCTGGGCTGAATCCCTGGAGGAAGACACAAGAAGGATCAGACAAGTCATAGCAATTGCGTCTTCTTTTTGGTTAACTCTCAACAATTCTTGATGCACTCTTCTTGGCTAAAAGATCGGAGCAGGTTAGAGAAGTAACAAGGAGGTTAGAGACCTTGGTGGTAAGCAACGAATCTCCTCCTGGAGTGTTGGTCTTAGCAGGCATTTAATGGCTGAAAAAAAAATGGTAGGAACTATGGAACCCATCTTCCTCATTTACTAGGACCACTAAGAATTTATAACACTGCATTTCCAGAACTAAAGGTAGAGAAGAAAAATTGTGCAGAGTTATCTTCAAGAATCCTAAAAACTGTATATTTGAGAGATTCTGAGCACATCCACTGGTTCCTACCTGATAAAATATAAACAATCTTGAGGAAAGATGTATGAATGTTTTATAACACACTTCATTACCAGGCTACTCTTGGGAAACAACCTATTTCTCTGCATTTATGGTCTGTGCTGCTAATGCTTTTGTGATTTCACTTTCTTCTTTGATGGATATAATGGGCAAAACCAGAGAGAAATTATTTGTTTTCTTATGCGCTCTCTCTCCCCCCCCGTCTCTCTCTCTCATCCCAAATTCTTGCAAAACCACTAACAAACCTTGCTATGATGCTGTCACACCCATTTCATGAGTTGCAGTGGTTGTCAATAACCTTCTAGTTGTAATTCATGGGTTTTGTCATCCTCTAAGATGGGTCAGTGGCTGAGCTTGTCAATCAAAAGGTCAGCAGTTCAGTGGTTCAAATCCCTAGGGCTGCGTATCGGGGTGAGCTCCCGTGACTTGTCCCAGCTTCTGCCAACCTAGCAGTTCGAAAGCAGGTAAAAAAGGCAAGTAGAAAAATAGGGACCATCTTTGGTGGGAAGGTAACAGCGTTCCGTGCGCCTTTGGCGTTGAATCCTGCCTGCCACATGACCACAGAGATAACTTCAGACAGCGCTGGCTCTTCGGCTTTGAAACGGAGATGAGCACCGCCCCCTAGAATCGGGAATGACTAGCACATATGTGCGAGGGGAACCTTTAATTTACCTTATAAAAGCTTACATCGTGAGGTCCTGGCTACTTGAGGGACCATATATTTCCTCTGGTTGCTACCCAGCCTATGTGATCCAACAGAGTCATCTGCGTACCAACTGGGTCATCTGATGTGATCCCAAAAGTGTGTCTCTCTAGAACAGTACCACCACCCTCCAAGATTTAAATAGGGCCTACTCTGTTCTACTTCAAGAAATCCCTGAGCCAGTTCTTCTTCTGGTTCTTAGATAAGGGCAGATGATGTTAACCCTTCAATGCTGGCCAGGCCAGGAAACAGACACAACAAGTGGCCATATTATATAGGCTATAATAACAGGAACTCAAAAGTTTGACACAGTTTCTCTTTTTTCCCCTTCTATCTCTTCTATCCAAGAGTGGGGCAGTCTTGAGGGTTTTTTCCATCATGGTTGTCTCAAAGGTGCTTTTCAAAAGGCAACTGGAGTTTCTTGAGTTTCTTTTCTTTTGAGGCCATCTGTGTAGTTTCCTACAAGCACAAGATCCCATGGGATCATTTCTTTCTCCTCTTGCAAACCTAATCATCCCCCTCCTTTTTTTAAAAAAATAAATTTTATTTCTTTAAAAAAGTACAAACAGACGATTTATTGACAAACAGATTACGGTGAGAACATTACACAATACATAACATTCAATCTAAATAAACAGATAAAAAATAAAAGTCTAATCTAGCATTGTCCTCTTTTTATTCTATTATCTAACCAAACATACCATAGGTCCCAGCATTGGAAATAGGCAGAGTCTTTTTGATCTCTTAAAATTTTAGTTAGCCTATCGGCTTCTGCACATTCCATGATTTTCCCTATAATCATATCTTCAGACGGTAGATCTTTACCCTTCAAGTTTTGGGCGAGGCATATTCTAGCCGCAGTTGTGATATAAACAATCAGATACCATTTGTTAGTACCTATTTTATCTGGCCTGATGTTTAATAAGTAAAATTCAGGTTTCAGTTGTAGTTTGTAACCAGTAATTTCTAACAACCACCTCTGAATGAGTTTCCAAAATTCAGTTACTCTGGGGCAAGTCCACCATACATGAAAATAGGTCCCTACCTCTCCACACTTCCAACAATTTGGGGAGAGTCCAGGAAACATCTTGGATAGTTGGGTGAGAGGAAGGTGCCACCTGTATACCATCATCCCCTTTTAGATATCTGCAAAAAATCAAAATCCATTCCTGGTATCTCATTTTGTCTCATCTCTAAATTATTATTCAGTATAATTGTTGCCCTTGACATTAACCTGTGTTGGTTCTTTGCAGATTTGTTTTTTTTTTTGCAATGCGCAGCATTAAAAAAGCCCAAGATTGTTTTTGTTATTTATTCTTTTCTGATGACAAAAGTTGCCTTTCTCTGCACAGTAATCAAAGAAGCTATAATTGATGGTATCCTCTGTGTGTGAAATTCTTTACAGGTTTTCATGATTAAACAGTCCCGCATTTTATTCATACATTTCTTATTCCAAAAACCTACCCTTCTGCATGCATAAAATCTAAGCAGCTAAGCAATCAACACAATATATGAGCAATGACAGTAA